TATTGTCTTTAATCTGAATAATCCTAATTCCAGCCAAAATTCAGAGGTTCTACCAGTATGCATAAAGAGAGTCTGTGAGTTTCATGAAATTAAAAAAGTTTATACGTGAAGAACATTCACCCTTCTGGGAAAAGAGACCATAATTTTCATCAGCTTCTGAAAAGGATTTATGACCCAAGAAAAGTTAAGTACATTTAGATATTTTTATAAGAATTTAAATGATTTATATTATGCAACATTTATTTTATTAGCTCCATTCCAATTGATTATAACCTGTATCGAAAATTCTGGTCACTTCAAGATTACTTCAGGAACCCTGTGCAATGCTATGAGAAGATTTCATGGAAGACTTTTCTCAAAGTAAGTTGCCAGTCACAGACTATCAAAAGCTTATTATTTTACAGTGAGTGGCAGAGCTAAGACTTTGGTCCAGTGTATGTTTCACTGTGCAATTCTGCCTCTTAGTTTTTACAACCATTTTATAATATACAGAAGCCAAATTGTAAATTAATATTTAAATAATTGATTTTGTAGAAGAGATTATAAATGACTTGGGATTTTAAAAGTTAATTACAGCTTAGAGCTTTCCTAATAAAGTGTTATCAACATAAATTAATGGTTTTCAGTAGAATATATCTTGTCTTTACTTTGCACAAAATTATTTCAATTGTTCTATTGAAATGGGAGTTCACAACCTTGTGCCTAATACAACCTGCTGGTTTGTAAACTGAAAACAAAGGTTTATTGCAGTCCACTCCTGACCATTCATTTCTCTGTGGCTGTTTTTATACCATAGTGTCATAGTCAGATGGTTGCTACTAAGATACCACGGACCACAAAGCCTGAAAGACATATTACTCTCCAGTTCTTTACAGAAAGTATGCCAGCTCCTTTTTCAGAAAACTTATTTTTTTCTTTTTTGGATACTTATCTTCTTTGGTTATAATCAAAATCTGGTATTAAAAAAATGCCTCTTACAGTTTTATAGTGTATGTTTCTGTTTTTTCCCCTTTTTTCATTGTTTTTGACAGTCAGTGCATTTACCATGTATATCATTTTTGGTAGAAAATTTTACATTCTTGAGACTACTAAGTGTTTCTTCCCTTTATCCCTATTCTGTATTATTTCTAATAGTTTTTTATTTTATATACAGCTGTGAGGGGCACCATCTAAATTCAGATTAAGTGGTTAGTAAGAAATCATCTGGAATCGTCTTTCAACCAGGCAGGATTTGATGTCATTGTTTTATTTGGTCACAGTTTTTGGCACGTGAAATGCTCGGTTTCCACAGCTGGCTTAACAAGCAATTTCACTGATAAACTCCTGAATACCGTTAATAGCATTCCTTTCTGTATGACCCTTACACAGATTTCATATTAAATCATATTTCTTCAGGAATAGAGAGTTATTCTTTCTTTTACAGTACCATGGAATCTCATACCCAATAGTTTTTATTCCTATTTTGCTATCAGTATTTTTGTTATTTTATGTATCTTAACAATGTATGTATATGGTTGGAAATAAATTCTAGGTATTTTAATATAGAGAAAGCAAAATTTGAGGGCAACAAAGCCCACTAAAACTAACTGATTTTTACTTTGCAGTATTCAGAAGAAGTTTTAGCTGTTTTTAAGAGTTATAAATTAGACGATACTCAGGCCTCAAGGAAGAAGATGGAAGAGTTGAAAACAGGAGGGGAACATGTGTATTTTGCAAAATTTTTGACAAGTGAAAAGGTATAAATCTTTCTTTTTCACTAAACATAGTAAGAAATGGTCTTGGGTTTTTTGTTTTTAGTTTTCCTATTGGCCGATAGATTTAAATTTTAAGAAATGCTTTTTACTTTTGATGAAAGCTCCTAAATGTTAGTTTGAGAGTCGCATTTCTTCCTTACACAAGTAGGCCTAAGTTCAAAGGTCAGAGTTGTTCTACAGTAAGTATATTTAGAATATATGTCATTTTCTTTCAGGTATATGTATTTTAAACCTGTACCTGAAAATTACAAAATATCATTTTGTAATTTTATCATATAGGCACAGCTGTGGGATTTAAGCATTCCCTATTAGTCTTATTTATACGTTTTAGTAAGTTTTATTCAAAATAAGAGATTGTAGAAATTTTCTAGTCAAGATGGCATATTGAGTTTCTGTCTTGACTTACTTCCTTTATTCCAGACACATAGCAATGACGGTAAATAGGAAAATGAGAAAGCTAAAAGGACAAAGCTGAGCTTCCAGACATAAGATAAATGTCTTCATGGACCAGAATTTCTTTTTATTTGTTTTATTTATTTATTTGTTTGTTTGGAGAGGTTTTTGCTGTAGGGCACATGCACTCACCAGAAAGACAGAGACAGGGAAACAGAAAGTGAGAAATCACACCCCAGGGGGGATGGCCATGCCACAATCCCTTCTCCTCCATTCTCCTCTCGGGATCTTGGGCAGGCACGCACACGCACCCAGGGTGAGTTTAACCCACTGGATCTGGGACTCAAACCACCATCTACTGCATGGGAGTCCAGCGACATAGCCATTAAGCCAACTCCTGGTCCCAGTGAACCAGAAATTCTAAGTAATGAACAAGCCCAAAGCCTTGGCCTGCTGGACTCTATCTGAAGTAAGTGGTGGCACTCAGAAGTTCAGCTCCAAGTAACGAAGACCAGATGTAGGCGGTATCAGTCCAGGGACGAGAGCCAGACTCACTGAAGCCAGAGACTGATGTAGAACTTTACCCACTTTTGAAAAGAAACAAAGAAAAAAATCTACCAGGATCTGTGGTTTTCTAGGAAGTTATGAGCCTAGCAATAACCAAGACACACCTTTACCCATTTGCTTGCTCAGTGATTGGATAGGTGATATCCCCAGTATATTCATGACAGAGCTGCTCCAAAAAGTCATTATAAAACTTTTCCAGACCTGTCCAGAGAACAGGGAAAGAAGATGTAAATAAACATCCCATTCTTTTTTTTTTAATTGGAGAGGTTTTTTGTTTGTTTGTTTTTGACAGGGTCTGCCCACACTCCTATTTAGCTGGGATTATAGAAGTGTACAACCATACCCATCCTTTTTATAGATTGATGTGGGAGCCAAACCCAGGACTCCCGTGCAGCTCCAGCATCACGCAACAGCAATTACCACCTAATTTCTTCTTTGTTATTAAGCACCACCTCTACTGCAGGCATTTTATAGTACTATAAAAGTGATTCCCCTTGATAATATGCTATATATTCATACAGACCTCACGTTTAGTCATTATTTCTTTATGTGGGAAAGTGGCAGCCACACTTAGAACATTATTACCCACTGAGGCCAGCAGGTGGCATGGTGGTTAAGGGCACTAAACTCCCACATGGCTGACTGCGCTTTGAGTCCTGGACCTAGCTGCTTTCTCACTCCCCACCTCCCAATCCCTTGCTGGTCAAATGAAAAATAAATAAATAAATCTTTTTTTTTTTTTTTTAAAGAAAACATTATTACCCACTAACTTAGAACATTATTACCCACTGAGGCCAGCAGGTGGCATGGTGGTTAAGGGCACTAAACTCCCACATGGCTGACTGCGCTTTGAGTCCTGGACCTAGCTGCTTTCTCACTCCCCACCTCCCAATCCCTTGCTGGTCAAATGAAAAATAAATAAATAAATCTTTTTTTTTTTTTTTTAAAGAAAACATTATTACCCACTAACCAGAATGTCCCAGGGCATAAAAAAAAAAAAAAATAGGAAATCCATATAGAACCTTTACTACTTATCCTTGGGTTTATGCAGTGGTATCTCGTAGGCAGTGAGCTCTCTGAAAATACTTTATAAATGAGTTGGAATTTTCCACTTCTCTAGTAGCGAACCTGTACCTGTTCCTTTAGACCAAATTCGATTTTAATCTGTTGTGTTTTTTTGTGTGTGTTTGCTTGTGTTTTGAGTAGTTGATGGACTTGCAACTGAGTGACAGTAACTTTCGTCGACACATCTTGTTGCAGTATCTCATCTTATTCCAGTATCTCAAGGGACAGGTCAAATTCAAAAGGTAAGTTAATATGGGTAGAAAGTGCTTTATAAATAGCAGGAAGGAAAAGAACTTGCTTAATGTTGCATTTTTTTCTTATGTACCGGGCCCATTTTAATAGTAGTGTTTTATATAAAACACTACTATTTCTGCAGACAAGTAGCTAATTGGGAGCATTAGATGTTAGGATATTTGTTTTAAGGAAAGAG